GTAAACTGTAAACTATTTTCTGTTCTAAAATTCTCCCTCAAGTTGGATTTGGAAGCTTACTTGATAATATTCCCTATTAAAAAAAAAAAGAATATGAAAAAATATTCTTTAAACCCTCAAGTTCTTACTCTAAATAATGCCGGGAGGAAAAAAAAAAAGGAACTTTCTTCTTGGGTCAGGAAAGAGGGTGAGTGGGTAGCCAATTGCAAGATAATCCTTTGGGCTTCTTTTCAAAGCAGCTGCTTTGCTGGGGAATCAAAGGAGGATGGGGGAATAAATGTAAACAGGGGGACTGCTTGGGTAGCACAGAGACTCTCTCACCATAGGGGGGAAAATGGGGATCTACTTCCTCAGGAAGTGAAGAGACGCCTGTGTGAGCAGTGCATCCAGCTAAGTGAAATTTAAAAGATATGCTTCGGCTGCTGTAGGATTTAAGTGCCAAATCTGCACAAATAATTTTGCACATCTACTTCATTGTTTAATTTTTGTGTGTTAGCTCTCATTTAGGGTACTTTTTGGAGCTTTCATTTGCAAATTAGGGCAGGAGGTAGACTTTGCTCTTTGTGATACAGTAATTACTTAAAATCTGAGAAGTTTTATAGGGTCCAGAAATGTTAACTTTTTCGTTCTACGCCCCAAACTGAGCCAACCTGATTAAAAAAAAAAAAAGAAAAGACAAGAAAAAGAAATAGACCACGCTACAAGTTTACCCACTTTCAAACTTCAGAACTTGGAAAACTTGGCATCAAAAGAGTTTTAGGAAGTTTTTAAAGTACACTATATATTGCTATTCCAGCACTGTACAGCAGTTATATTACCTCTCTGGGTCACTAACATGGTGGATTCTCGTCACAGAAGAAACGTGAAAACATCACTTTTTATTACTCCTTCTCTGACCTTCCTCCACATGTAAATAGATCTTTGATCTTAAGTACTGAAACATCATTTTTTGCTAAATTCCTTAACCACCCCGTCTTAAATTCTTAACTACTCAAATTGAACCATCTAAAGCTTCTATTGTCATATTTGTCTTCCCTCACTTTCCTAGATAGAGATTATACACATCAGTGTCTGAATCTATAGGACACCCTGTCCTTGTCTACTGCACTGACTATTAACTAGCACAGACTATGAAAAGAAAATCTAAAAGGAAGCATCTTGAATGCGGGTAAGCTGTGGAAGAAGAATCTGTTTACTCTATTTGCAACAGTCTTACTATTATTATATATCAAGAAAAACACCCTATCTAGGCAATACAAGATGACAAAGACCGGTATGAAGCAAAGGCTTAGGAGCAAACACACCAGGTCTGAAGACTGACGAGATGTTAAGATGTGGAGTAAGTTGCTCAATCTCCCCAAGCTCATATTCTTCTTCTGCAAAGAGGAATATCCACACTACCACTCTCATAGATGGCGAGAATTGGGGGAAGATAAAGTGTGTATTTTCTTCATCAGCAACAGCATTAGGTCTAACATCTTTTCTGGCTTTTAGACCTTCTACACATCTTGAATTGGCAGACACTCACTGGCACTTGCCATTCAGCCTATTGTATTATTTCCTTAAAGATGGCCAGCAACTTGCCCACCCTCCTTTTTTTTTTTTAATCCATGGTCTCCATGCTCTTCTAACAAACCTAAGTGGCCCATTTCTCTCTCCAAACAGAATTAGGTTTGAACAATGTATGTTTGTGTGGGCCAGTGCTGAGGGTACGTTATATGTATTTCTTATTGACATCAATGCATAATAGTAATGTTCTAAAGTTCTTCCCACCTTCCAAATCACTCTCCTTATATCAACTGAGGTCAGACATCAACTGAGGTCAGCAGGCATAAAGATGATAAATACCCAGATCCACTCTTAGAATACTGATAGGTGTTCGGAATGCTACATCTAATCACACTTTGGTTCAGAAAATCTTTACCAAGATTTTGGTGCTGAGCCACTAACTGGAGATACCAATTATGAGGCAATTTAGCCAGGTAGACAGGTAAGTAAGAAGATAATTTCAGTACAGTGTTTTCACACTATATGATTTTATTTATTTTTTTAAAATATTTTTTATTTATTTGAGACAGAGAGAGAGAGAAAGAAAGTACAAGTGGGGGTGGGCAGAGGGAGAAACAGACTCCTCACCGAGCAGGCAGCCCAATGTGGGGCTCAATCCAGGACCCTGAGATCATGACCTGAGCCAAAGGCAGACACTTAACTGACTGAGCCACCCAGGTGTCCAGTATGATTTTTTTAGAAGATTTATTTATTTTAGAGAGAGAGAGAGAGAGAGAGAGAGAGTGCGCAAGCATGTGAGTTGGGGGGAGGGGCAAAGGGAGAGGGAGAGAAAGAATTTCAAGCAGACTCCCTGCTTCACATAGAGCAGGATGTAGCCTTCGATCTCATGACCCTGAGATGACAACCTGAGCCGAAACCAAGAGTCAGATGCTTAACCAACTGAGCCACATAAGCACCCCCATTTTTTTTTTTAATGCTATGGAAGTACATGGTAAGATCACTAAACACAAGGGGAGTGGGAGTGAAGAATAAGGGCAAACAAACATCACAGAAGGCTTCTGAGAAGAGAGGTTGTCTCAGCTAGACAAATGGTATATGGATGAGGAAGGGCCCACAGCACCTTCAAGACCAAGTGCAGTGTGGTAGGTACATCACCGTACCATGTACGTTATTAGATGACACTGTAATAAAATGCACCACTCAGAGTGGTGGAAATAAGCAACAACCAAATCAGAGAACTCTGTATAGTGCATTGAGGGTTTGGACTTTATCCTGCTCATAATGAAAAGTCAGGGGAGGATTTTAACCAGAGTAGTTACATAGTGAGACTCCTCTAATCACTCTAGATTGTGTGCATTAGAACTTTTGAAATGACAGAAATCACCATTTGTTTTGTTAGATAATGAAATGGACACCCTTGGAGGGACTAAAACACCAACGCCACATAGTTAAAACCAAGACATGATCTTCAGTGTTAGCAAATTCTTGTTCTGATGTTCCTGCAGAACCCCTCAAATGCCAGGACACAGATTTTCAGAGAAAGATGCAAGTACAAGATCCCTTGTACTCCAGCTCTCCTCCTAAATCACTTAACAAAAATAATGTATGTCAGTGATTCCATCCTGTTCTCCTTTGAGTTTGAAAATAATGGACGTTGTATATATTAGCATTTAAAAGAAATTTTGCTCCTTGGTTTCACAGTCTTGGTTCAAGTTTCTGTGTTAGATCTACTCTGAACTGAACCCAAAATTACTTCACACATTTCTAGATTGGTTATTTAATCACAGAGGTAGCAATGATCAAAGATTCAGTCAAGAAACCTCTAGAAACTGCCTTAAGATTATACGCTGTCAGAAAACAGGAGCTGTTTTTAGTCTTTCACAAATGCTTAAACAAGTCAGCACTCCATCAAAGGGACATAACGGTTTCATGTTCTGTCAAAGAATGTAATGCTTGTTTACCTGAAGATTTGTCTTGACTGACACAAAACTTACTTGAAGATTAACCTGGACAATCAAGCCCTTACTCTTGAAACACAATTACCTACAAGAAAATAAAACCTGAATTCATACTGAAAACACTCCCAAACTGTTGATTCTGACACGGTATTAAATTAAACACAGGAAAAAAATGTTTTGAACGCAAAAATGCATTTTGCTTGAAAGCAACTAGCATTTGCCTGGGTATTTGGCTCATTTAATCCTCACAACCATCTGAGGAATTAGACACTATTAGAAACTTCATTTTACAAATGAGATAATCAGAATGTTACAAGAATTAAGTGACTCAAAGTCATCCAATCTGAAAAGGTGACTCCAGATCCAGCAGTCTCCAAAGCTATCACTACACACTATACATGAAGTTGTTTCAGGCTTATTCTGGAAGACATTAATAAATACAAAGCTTTTAAGGATTTGGAAAGTTTGAATTTTTTAATCACTCAAGGCTTAGAATAATAATATGACCCTAGGCCCCTGAGTAAAACAGCACAGTCTACAGAGCACTACTCTAGTAATTACCCCTCTCTCACACACACACACACCAGCTTGTGAGGTAGTCAAGACCTATGTCAGCATCCGTAGTTACAAAGGAGGGTGCTGACCCTGATCCAGACCCCTTGCTAATCTCAGTTTACCATTACATAATCCCATTTCCCATAATCACCCATAATCTCTGCTTTTCAATGACAACAGATTTTTAAATTATTATAGCCACCACACAAATGGAACAAACCAAAACAGTACATAGTCTGATGTATACTGATCTTTTGCTGGTAAAATACAGCCCAAAAGATTACAGATACCACCTATCAAACACCAGTTCTGGGTCAGCGAACTTCCATATATTATCTCATTTAATCTTTGTATTCTTCCAACTGCATACTATTACCCAAATACTCCATTATACATATGAGAACATCAAGGCCTAAAGAAAGAATGTTAATAACATGCACACAGTCTTGGTGAATAACAGAGCTAGGACTTGGGCCTCCTTCTAACCCCAAAGTCTGTGCTCTTTCAAGTATCTTTGAGGCCAATGAGTCAAGCACTTTTGCACAAACATATAATTTTGTGCTTAACAATATAGTAGGAAAATGTGTTAAGCCTGAAAATTATTTATAATAGTGTAATTCTGCAAGTGACAATCACAAAGCAGGTACACAACATACTATTTCTAAGTTAAAAAAGTAAGGAAGGGGGAAAACAAGGAAAGGATGGGGTTGGAGGGAGGAAAAGAGAGGAGAGAGGCAGGAAGGAAAGCTGGTAAGAATTATTATTTTATGGAAGAGAAAATTCTGGGTAAGAAAAGGTAAAGCAAAGTTGAATAATTTACCTAAGATCCCTCAGCAAGCTAGAATCAAAAGCCAGAGGGAAAGCTTTAGGAGCTCTGACACAAAAACTCTTTTCACTTTCCCTTGACAAGTGGCTATATTTCTGCTGATGCTGAAAATGACTTCTCCTCCCAGGTAGGGAAAATAGGAAATCACTCACCAATTCATGGAAAGGACTCATGTTCTGTCCCTCCAGTTCCAGGTGTAGCACAGAGTTTAGGAATGCAGACTCTGGTTCCAGACCGCCTGGTTCATAAAGCAGCTCTACCTCGCATTAGCTCTGTGACCTTGGGCACATGATAGAAAGAAGTAACTTTGCTCCTAGGTAAACTATCTTGCAATTATAATTATGCACATTTAGCTCTTTTTCCATTTTTGTTAAAGTAGGGAATGAAAACAATCAAATTATTCAGGACTAAAGTGAATCTGAAGCCTGACTTATCTGGATGAACGGCTTCAACTTTCCCTTTCATGCTGACAGTGGAGACTTTGCAATTAAGAGAAGTCATTGATACTGATAAACTTACCATTTGTTTAGTGCTCATTATAATAGCAAATGTTTGATTTAGTATTTCCAATGTGCCAGGCACTGGACGAAGGGATTTTTGTGGATTATTTCATTTAATCTTCATAACCACCTTTGAGAAAGGTACTATTGGTCTGCCTGTTCAGCAGTTGGGGAAACTGAGGCTCAGGATTACGTGCTTAGCCAACCAAAGCAGGCCATCTAACTGGTGTCTATTTGGTCGATCACACCTCTGTTCTGTTGTCTCCTTCACCTCCTCTCAAATGATTCCTTCTAGCTAACACTTTAATTTCCAATAAAGTATTACTAAGTTACATAGTGATACCGCTCATAAGGGTACTCAGACAGTCATTTGTTTAAACAATCAAAACATCAGGGTAGAAAATGATTTTTACTGTTCATGCACTTGGACTGAACTGACAAGGAATTACAAAGCAAAGGTCACAACTTAGATGGCTGATGGCTTTAAAAGCCAGACATAAGCATAAGGACATTATTATTAAATAGTTTTCTAATGTGATCACAGCCACTTAAAATTGTCTTCAAAAATAGCATGAAAGAGGGTCAGAGCAAACTGATTAAAGTAATCCCTGATGCATCACTTTTTTCCCCCCAAGAAATTTTTTGAAACACAATTTTAAAATATTTTAAAATCTCCCCTCTGCCAAAACCAGTATCATTTTCTTTGAAAGACACCAAGGATTTGGCAGTAATTCTTAATTCCATAAAGTAAAAGGCATTTTTAGAGTTTCTAAGGGGCCTCCCTCACAACAGATGAGGCCTGCATTTGATGGCTAAGGACAGAGGGGTGGAAGAGGCTGGTGACCAAGCCCAGGCTCCCTGACTTGCGGGAGTCTTGTTGCTCATCACAACCATTTACACTCCTGGGTAGTGCTGAGGAGGTGGTGGTCAGAAGCACTGGTCCCTCATGCAGACACTCAACTTTGCCTGCTCTCAGTCTTGCCCATATAAGATTAAAAGACATCATCTACACACACACAAGCTCAGGTCTTTCAGATCGCATGGATACGTACATTTACACTTAAATATGGGTGCATTCTATTGCAGTGGTTAGGAGGAATCTAGTCTCTAGAATTAGACAGGCTTGGTTTGTAAACCAAGCTCTTCCACTTACTTGCATTTTTTTTCCTTTTAATCTTGGGCAAATTTTCTTAATATCTCTGAACTTTAGTTTCCGTATTTGTTTAAAAAAAATCAGTATCTCCTTCTTAACATTTTCTTTCTTTTTTTTTCTTTTGACTAGAATTGAATGAGATACCTGTGCGGTCTGTGGCACGGTGCCTCATCCATGGTGAGCAGCCAGATACTAACTTATTAACTAGTCATATCATTTCCTTATTCAATAAGCTATTCTTTCTCTCGTTAAGCAGCTTGTCTTTTGGCCTATTGTGTACAACTGTTTCCTTTCTCAGAAAGGGAAGAAAGGTAAAGAAGATCAAATTGGGGGAAAATTTTGTTGAATTTACTAAGAGTGCTTATGAGTGTTAAAAAAATAAAGTAGATAATATATAAATAAGGCAGTTAAGGCATTAATCTCTAAGGATTATTTTAATTCATTTATTCAGAATGCAAGTCTTATAGCCAAAGCCAGGTATTACTAATAATTAATTTATTCCCTACAGCATGTGGATTTGCGGTAATGCTCCATGATTCACTAATCTAGCAGAGAATGAAATGATTATTTACTAAGTGCAAGTCACTGTACTGTTAGACACTATCTTACTTAATCATCACATCAATACTATGATAGGTAGTTATTTCTGCACCCATTTTAAAGATCAGGAAAGTAAAATTCAGAGAAAAACACTTACTACAAGTCATACAGATAATAAGTGGCAGAACCAAGAATATATTTGATCTAGAACTCAATCCAATGTTTTCTATTTTCTTGCATGGTCTCCTGTTTTGGTTAGTAAATGATATTGCATATTCACTGAAAATTAATGCTGCAAATGGTGAACCAACTAGCCCTTCCAATCATCAACCAAACACATGTTTGTATAATAGACTCAGTATGGTAATTAAAATTTGCCTTCTGTTTAAAAAAAAAAAAAAAAAAAAAAGCTTCTTAAAAATATATCAGCACCAAACAACCTGAATCAGGTATCTACTCATTCCACAACATTCAATATGTATTTACTAAGCATCTACTATACATAAGCCACTCTGCTAGGCAACTAGAATCATGAAATTTTTGTCGTCCAAATTTTTTTTTTTAAAGATTTTATTTATTTATTTGACAGATAGTGAGAGCAGGAACACAAGCAGGGGGAGTGGGAGAGGGAGAAGCAGGCTTCCCGCCGAGCAGGGAGCCTGACGCGGGGCTCGATCCCAGGACCCTGGGATCATGACCTGAGCCGAAGGCAGACGCTTAATGACCAAGCCACCCGGGCGCCCCTGTTGTCCAAATTAATATCATTGGCAGCTGTTTTAATATCTGAACTGCTTTTCTTTTTTGATTCAATGTTTCTATAAACAGAATTTGTATCTTTGGGGTACTGAATAAGCCTCATGGATTCACTGTGGTTGGGCCAGCTAAATCTCTTTGGGTGTTAGTCTTGGCAATAACCACTTGGAGTTGGCAGAAGAAAGACCTTATCTCAGTTTCCTCATCTGTGAAATGGGATTTGAAAAAATAGTACCTACCTCCCAGAAGAAAAGTTCTATGAATTAATTGATCTTGGAACAGTTTTCTACTAAGTGCCATTTGGCATGAACTTAGTATGAGGGTGATTTGATTTTATAAAACAGTGACGGAAACTATTTAAAACAGCCACACATTTAAATGTCAAACACTTGTCACAGAACTACAGTAAATTTCCTTTCTTCAGGCTGAATCATTTGTGTGTGACATTTGTACAGAAGTACAAATAATGGTCAAATCAATTTGGGATTTAAAAGTGTATTGAAATGTTTAGGAGTAAAAAAGATCCAAGTTTCAAATAGTGGGGGGATGTCTACTATTTTCTAAATATTGTTAAGACATAGTACTATGGTCATGGAACATTATAAACAAACGTACTAAAATCTTAAAAATATTTTCCTGGGCAGGGGTTAAAAAAATGAAAAATTTTAAAACTTAAAAAAAAAAAAAAAAAAACCTGTTACAATTATTGCCAAAACAAGAATTACAGAAACCCTGTTTTGTGGCCCTGTGGCTTTTCTACACAGAATTTATTTTATCTAATATTAAAAACATGCTAAAAACCTGCTTTTCATTTTTCACAAATGTTTTCAAGCTCCCTTTTTATTCCTGCAGTTGAGTGCCCATTTTAGACCACCTGGAGGCAGAAAGCACCAGCCACCCTCCTCTACTGTGATAATTTATCTAACAAGCAGTCAAATAACGTGTTGGTCCGTCCTCTACTTAATGGAACAACATATCAGAGATGTCTGGGCAGGGCCAAATAAATAGAGCAGTTTTCTAAAATCACCAGAAGATCCAAACTAAAGCAATCACAGGAAGCTTTAGTTGATCATCAAAAACGTAAATCCCTAATGTGTTGACTATTTCAGAAGCATTAAAGTGTAGGTTGACACAGAACCCTAAATAATGATGTGTGACTGCCAAGGCTTGTTTTGTAATCCTTGGGTTTTCGAGATCACATTAGAAACCATTTCATATGAAACCTTGCCACCCTTCCTCCCTCTGCTCTCATCTGAAGGTCTGCAGTGAATATAAATTTTGATAGCCATCCATATGGACAACACATCCCAGGAGGGGCGCAAGGCCTTTGTAACACAACCCACTTTCTCTTCAATACTCTTCTTGGAAATCAAGGAATCTGTGTGTTTTCACAAGGCAGTTGCTTAGGAGGGCATTGAGAAAGGGACCCCAAGAAGCAGTGGAAAACTGCACAAGAGGGACCCTTACAATAGACAGCCACTATTAAATTGTCATTTCTATAGGTGAGCTGGTTACTATACCGTTCAAATGCTTGCATGAGGAGAAACAAGCCAATTATGACAGGAGTCTCCGTCCTGGAGTTTAGTCAAGGCACTTAAAATGGAAAGGTCACTGGCTTCAGAGATTTTATGTCAAGGTAAAAAAAAAAAAAAAGAGGGAAAAATTCTTAGCACCTACGGGGCTTTTGTTCAGAAGATGAACTTTTGCTCCAGAAAGGGCGACAGAGTGTGTGTATACAAGACAAACATAAGGGCCCGCTCTGGGCTGTGCTCTTGCCTCTCAAGTCTGCAGGGGGAGGCACATTATGCAATGGGGACCGCCCTTTCTGTAAAGGTGAAAGAGACCGAGGCTTGCTTTTTCAAGTGAGCACTGGCAGTGGGTTTGCTCTTGCTCTTGCCCTTTTCCACGGGAGCAAGGCATTCTTTGCAAGGCAACTGCTGGATTTTTGAGCTGCCGGTCTGGGCACCAGGAACAAAGAAAAGGAACCCTAACTGCCCCCATCAAGACCGCATTCTAATCCTCAGCACTCAAAGCCCCAAAGCAATAGCTACACCTGCAAAGTCAAGTGCTGAATTCCTGCATCCAGGTCGCTGGTGTATAGCTACTGCTACATGTTTAACTCTCTGGATCTCTGCCTTTTGTTTTGTCTGTTTTAGTAGGTAGAGCTCACTTGACTCTGTGGGCATTTAGAGTAGAAGAGCCTACTGTCATTGTCATGACCATATTTTCTGAGGAATCCATGGTCCGTTGTCTGGAGGAGAGGTCCAACTGATCTTCTAATATTCTCATGTCAACAACAAGAAAAGGACTGTCATGGCTCCTGACTGCTAAGG